CAACAGGTTCTACGATACTGTCATACCTAGTGCTCAATGCGGTTAGAACCCACTGAACTGTGCGTGATGTCAAAAGAAAAACTAATTCACTGACACGACATGCACACAAAGCAAGTAAGCGGAGATCTTTCAAGCGAGAAATCCTGTAGATGTGGCAAATTGTGAACTAAGATAGGTATTGTCCCTTGTTTCATCATTGAAATCCTTTGACTCTGAACGTGTAAAGAAAATTAGAGAAATGTAGTTAAATTAACATAAAATCGTCCCCAGGATTCCCGACGACACTAGTTGCGCTTGTTCCACACTAACGTCATTTCACTGTCTGTTTTAGTACACAGTACTAAAACCAGCTGAATAATAAGTTTCGTGTTAGAACAAGGGAGCAATACCATTAAGATAGCTCTGCGATTGACATTCTGTGGAATCGTTTCCCAAGGTCCTAGGCAAAAGGGTATTGAAAGTCGGTAAAATATTAGGGTGAGATAAATGACGAGATGCGTATACAAGGACAGAAGGTTAAAACCTATATACTTATGGCATTTTGGCATCACTTATCTAGGGTTGCGTCACAGATAACGACGGAGTTGGAGCTGACGTCTCACAACGGATCGCAAAGGCACCCTTGCATTCATCAAATTGAGAGATGTAGCATCGTCACAATGTCAGTCGCAAGCTCAAGGGTTAGATTTACAATGCTTTTGTCCGTGCAGTCCTCTTATACGGCTGCAAGGCCTAGCCTATTTGCTCAGAAGACATGAAACGATTGTCAGCTTTGGACATTCGTTGCCTGCGTAGGATTGCTGGCGTGTGGTGGCAACCTCACGTAAGCAACACGGATATCCGAGATGGAGCGCTTGGAGTAAACAGCTCTACTTCCAAATTGTTGTTCTTCGACACTGATTCCGTTAGCTCGGACACGTATTGCGTGTGCCAGCCTATCGTCTTCCAGTCCAGCATTATTTGTGCTTCTCAGGAACAACTGGGAAAAAGGCCGCCGTGGACAACCAATGGCATTAAGGAGAACAAGAGGAGAACCTCAAGTTTGGCATCTGTTGAACCGACCCAACTTCCAGGCTGGGAACCATGCGACAATGACTTCCAACGGTTAGAAAAGATGGATGCTATGTCGCAAAACAGACAGCCGTGGCACCAGCGCTGTTCCGCCGCATCAAATGTTAGATAATCTATAAGCAAAAAAAGAAGCAAACAAGGCTTGTGCAAAGACAAACAAATATGTGTCTGTTAGTCTTTCGTTGTGATTATTTGTTCTTACAACGAATCAGATGGCACATTACCAGTAGACAGACTGTGAATATAGATGCAAGAGACGGAAGGAAACAAAGTAGCACATTGACGACCATTGCACCCGAATCAACGAATTCACATAGTTTTATTAATCATGTACGAAGCTAGGAGGGGCTGCACTCAGATGCTGACGTACCCCGATACGTTGAATTGCTAACTGTCCAATGGCGCGAATTGCTTTGTCGGCAGAGGTGAGATGGGCACAGAGCCGCGACATTGGTGTCTATGTTCGTAGGGCTCCCCGAGCCGTTCGGCTGTGAGAAATAAACGTTAGCAAATACCGCAGCTGCAATCGACTTGTCATGCGTGGATTGCGGGGCAAGACCAAGGGAACGCACGCCGTCCGACTGTGAGAACTGAATGTTGGCCAGACATCACAGCCCCACTGAACGTGTCATACGTAGATCGATCGGTAGTCGGCCTTCAGGGAGGCGGAAAAGCCAGCAAAATGCTTCCCTGCGAAGTGGTTAGTTGGTCGCTGTGCCGGCAATTGAGAAAAACAGCCTAGCCCGATGTGATGACCAGTCGATGGGCGTCGTATTGCTATCGCCACAAAAACTGTTATCGCCTCATGACTGGCTTCCAACAAACCGGTAAGCTTTTGCTGTGCTGCTTTCGCTACTAAATGGAATCATACTGCCGGGGGCACATTGTAAGATTACAGTGTTGTTCGCTTTACCGTTTCGATAGCGTGTTTGTTACAACTGAAAATTCACTCTTCATGGGTGCATAAAAAGGAATTCTTGACTTGACAATGCTCTTAGATTTCAGTCTGCCCCGAAGCACTGGGGGCACCCTGTAATTGTCCGAATACTGGCAGTCCAACCGTGGTGGGCTACTTTTGCATGCATGATGCTAGCAAACTAAAATAGTGACTGCGCTATTTACAAAAAACGTTTTCGGCAGTTTCAGTAAGGTCGTAACGAAAGCCGCGGACTAGACCCGCCCAGCAGTCCCGTATAGTAACCTCAGTGGACGATGCCAAATGGTTCGTACGCTGACGAATAAGAAAAATTCAGTGCTAGAGCTGAGGACAGCACTCACACTAGTTTTACCGGTTGGTGTATCGATATCTGTGGACGTGCGCAACTGATATAAAGATGGCATGCGAGGTGGAGCTGGTTAGATAACCAAGCAACAGTCACGAATTCCACTCCCAAAGAAGTGAAACACGTATCGCTTGGAATATTCAACGTGTCAGCAAGTGATGCCTGCTGGTCCATTTGTTTTAGGGTACGGATGTTAAACGAGACCAGAGAAACATGGCAGCATGGTTGACTTAGAAGGTAGAAGATTACTGGGGGTGGTGGTGACACGGATGGAGGTGACAGAAGTGCAGAAACACAAGAACTGCCATCACCAACACTAGGAACTACAGAAGGAAGATCAAAAGAGGTGGTGGAGAAACGAGTACGAAACATTCTACTATTTATCACCCACAGTGATGCATGTATGAGATAGGCAAAAACTAAAACTAATTGACGACCAGTGCATGAAGAGGCCGCATTTTTCGTGAAATAGCTGGGCTAGTACATCATCAGAAAACCGAAACATGGGTAGTCGAATGATGATAATCCTCGATTAGGATCTTCTCTCCAAAAGCTTGTCGAGAAAGCAATGGGAATTCGAGAAGAATTGATCTAAACTAGCTATTTTTGCAGGCTGGAGCACCCGAAGACTGAGGCTGTCAGACCCAAAACCAGCAGCCTAGTTGGTAGGAGTACCACTTAAGGTACTCAAAACACCAGCTAGCATAGATCAGTGGACCAGAGTGCGTAAATGGTAACACTATGCTAAAAATGGTTATGCTGCATATATAAATAGATTCGAGTTTAAGATGATTCTGAGCCGGAAATGCAAACATAGGCCTGTCAGTGGAAATGAAGTCGATGACTACTGAACTGAATGCGGCGGGATCATTTCGCTGTTGATTCGTGGTCCTTCCGTTCTACTCTGTTCCTAACGATGAAGTTCGGTGTGGCGTATTGGGAAACATGAGCCCTCCGCTTGATTGCCTTGTCGCAATGCGCCAACTGAGATGGCTTGGTCACATTCTACGTATGTCATGCGAGCGCTTGCCACGTCGTGACTTATTTGCTCGCACGGGATTGAATTGGAAGAAAATTTGTGGAGGTCAGCTAATCACTTGGCGGCAAATCATGGAATCCTTGACATCCTGTCTCGCCATTATCGGCCCTGGACCTCTTCCTGGTTGAGGGCCCAGGGATGAGGACTAGGAATGGCTCGACACACTTGGCGATATGGCGCGAAACCGAAATCAACGGAAGGACTGCATATTGAAATGTTTTGAACAATGTGATTAGTTATATCATCCAAAATACAAAAATAAGAAAATATGCTGTGTGAAAATAGACGAGAAAACACAAAGCCAAAAACCCCATAATATTTGTTCCGTTTTTGGACATATGTGCTTTTTACTTTGCTCCTCATGGTTCTTCGATGGCTCAACGTCCCTTTATAGACGGATGCATATATATATATATATATATATATATATATATCCTCCGTGCTTGGCTCTAAAATCACATAACATGGTTTATAATTGGTATCAGTGTGGCGCCTGCAGCCAAATCTCAGCCGGACTGCATGTATAGGATGCGCGATGCTGAGCTGACCGGAGTACGGTTGATTAGAGAGAGGGGCGTTGTGTGTAGGAACGGGATAGTTTCGAAAACGCTGGCTAGTGTTCATATGACGCTCAGCTGATTTCATGCGCATAGCATCTTAAAGTGCAGCTGTTTCTGTGCTGAATATTAGCATGGTCGTCTACATTAAGGATGTAAAAGAGCTCTGCACCAGCAGTAAGTAGCTAAAAGTAGTATTGTAAAAACACTATTTAACATGCAAAATCAGTCTTTAGTTTGATTCACCGAAATGAAATGACGAAAAGCTTGACAGCCACTGTGGTCACGCTACGTTGCTTGCTCGGAATGTGTTTAGAATTCGTGCTACTTGTAGTTAAGCATGTAGTTACAAGTCAATAAACAAATGTTCGCGTAAACAACGGGATCGGCTACGCGATGAGGATACCTGCCCGTCACACGTGGAGAAATGTAAGCAATGTTGAAGGAGCATAAATTGAATGGGAAGATATACGACTCATGTGCATAAACCACTTGCGCATTGGAATCTAGGTTCCAGTACGATGCCCAACTCTTAAAAATCGCTTGAATTTCTGTAGATCTTTGTTCGGGCATCCACGCCACATTCGGCTACAACCCGGCGCATGACCATGTGCATCCGACAGGATTCGGCAGATGTGCGCTGCTGCTGATTCCCAATAAATAAAACGGGACTTCGACGCCTTTCCAGATGCGAAGTGGAGGTTAAAGTGATGGCGAGTGCCGTTAATTTTCCCATAAAAGCTAAAATCATCGAACAGAATAGTTAAATGCATGAGAAAATCCAGAAACGTTGTCAAATGATAATCTGCCGAAAGTAGGAGAGGACACTAAGAAGGAAAACGCACCAAAGTGGGCGTCACGGGATAAACTAAGTCGCGTGTAGCATTGTAAGTTGGATTCCACATGCACAAACCAGAAATGTACGTGAATACAAATGGGGTATGACAAGCGCTTCACATCAATGTTTGTCCAGTCAACTGGTGATAAGAATGACAAAAAAGAGTAAAATAAAATGGACATTTACCGTGTCTGAAAAAGTTCACAACTCACCTGGCAAAAGGATAAAAAGCAGGGCAACGACGTCGCAGAACAACGAGTGTCTTGAAGATCCGGTCCACGGACGGCACAGAAAAACTGACGAACTCGTTTTGGAGCACTAACACTAGACAAACCGCACAAGCTGGTGTAGGATCCGCCAACCACTAAACAATCCAGATCAGTCAGCAATCCAGGCACGTAGTCCGGCTTGAGTTTCCACCAACCGCCCATTAGCCGACGTCCAGGGATGTACGGGCTAGGCCCGAAAGCCAGCTTGGCCACCATGCCCTCTTGGCGATGGTCCATTAAATTATTGAACACGGTGGTGACTGCGTCCACAGATAGAGGAAGGCAACACCAACCGGAAACGTACACTGTCCCTTCCAGTATGGTAGCAGGTGGAGGGCAAATGAGATCGGCACGACAGGTCTTCTTCAGCTGTTCTTCGCTCACGATGTCAAGATAGTTTGATATTGACACATGGTCGAACAGAGTAGACAAGAGCCGTCTGCGCTCCAGAAGAGGTCTGCTTGTGAGCACCTAATGAGATGCAGAAAAAAAACGTGCGTCCGTTTCATCGGGTGGGCAGACAGAACTGCTGTCGAGTATGACAGCAGAGGAATACGCACGAGTGACACCGCATGTGTGCTGCTGTATGGATAATAATCTGTGGCAAATCAATCGGCAGGAAGAAAAATCCGTGATGAAAGTGTGGTGATCAGAAAAGATTGCGAGCATAATGAGATGTGACAAGTTCCAGTAATAAAAACGGCAACTATGGAGATGTGCCTTAAGAGCGGATGTTGTGCTTGAAACAAAACACTGCTCCCATCCAACAGTCATAACCAAATTATCAACATAATGCACAATATCGAAGGGGATTCGTTGCGCATACACTCAAGCAGTCATACAGCCGCGGTGAATGAGTATTGGTGTTTAACAACAAACCTCCGGTGCTAGCAAGATCATAGTGACCGCATAGCTGCAATCCGGCTGGTTCGATGAGTAGTGGACCTAGTCCTAACAACAATGGGCCTTGGAAAGTGATTCCCATTGCTGCGTCCACACTCTTTAACTGTCCGCTCTTTTACAGTGACGCATCGAGCCGCTCGGTCGGACGTTGTGAAAACTCCGTATTAACGGAAAACGTCTGAACACCCTAAGGCGCTGCTTTAATAGGTGCTCTTCGCACTGTTCAGGTGCTTCGCTCTCGTACGCGACCCCAACCAAATTGCGCGGTTGTGAGGTACACACCTTTCACTGAACGACCAAAAGCTGGTTGGTGTGACTGGTTAGACCAGCCGTACTTAGTGCGATCTGTTTATGAAAAAGAATCGACGAGTATTCACACAGTTTTAATTAGCTAAATATTTTAAATATTTTGCAATCTATATACTTGATCAATATTACTGTTTCTTTATTTGCCCATTGACTTAAATCTTATGTCTAAAATTCAGCTGCATTCTCACATATTTTATACAAACGCAATCTGCATGCTTGCTTGTTTTATTTATTTTCAGATATTTATTTGTATTTACTTGGTGTGATTTATTGCTTTTACCCAAAACAAATGTGTCCGCTTGTACTGCTGAACGTCGGTCGCATTTCTCGCCTCTCTAAAATGTGGGTTTATGTGTAGGAACGCACTTAAAATATCGAGTCCGGGTGTGTCCACCGTGTATTGTCTGAGATAAGGTGGCACCGGAAGGGTGTTGCGAGTCGGTACTAAGTTGGTCGAGGGGTTACGAAGACCAACGTACCAGTATATGCGCAATATCGAAATGGACATAATCCTAACCTACCGTATGTTAACAGGAAAGGTTGTCTTGGATCTGACCTGCCTAGTTAGTCCTGTCAGATTGTCTGATCTCCGTGAGCTTTTCATGAAACGGGACAAACCGCGGTCTGACCGGATTAGGATGGAAACTCCGTTATCGAGGCGAGTCACCGAGCGCTGGAACTCGCTTCCAGAAAGTGCTGTCAGGGAATCAACGGTTAAGAAGCTTGAGCGTCAATTAGACGCTCTTGGATTGCAACAGGAAACATTTTCCTTCCCTTGACAGAAACCCATCCCCATAATTCGACTACATTTCCTGTACTTTGCTTTACCGGCTGTAATATCCTTATCTTTCAAATGACTCCTTACATTCAACTTTTCATTTCTCTTTCCATCTCTTCACATGAGCGTCGTGGCAGGGACTTCTAGTGCAGGAAACGCGGGCACTAATTGGTTGACTAGTGCGTGAGTCGAGTGTTCCGTTTTAGACACCATCAAAATCTCAGAACACTTTGTCAACTCCTGTTAATGCACCTATTTAGGGGTATAAAACCTATTTTGACTTAACTTGAAAAAGAAAGAATATTTACGGGATTCTGCTATCGTTCCAGTCCCTCCTGAACTTAATTAGTATTTACCGGGACTGCGTGCAATTGAATAAAAGGGCAGTAAAACTCACAGAAATGCGAAGTAAGGCTGCGGCTTTCCGTGTTCATAGGTTGTGATCTAAAGATCGTACGCAAAAGTGGTTGCATAACATGTTGGATATGGCGCAGTTAAGCAGATAGTGGGGCTCTTGAATTCTTTAAGTATTGCAGACACCGAATTGCTTCAGCCAATGCGTTAATATTTACCAACCCCCATTAATGACGTTATGATCATTTGCACTATCTTTACTATGGTAATACGAACCAAACCAATCGATTCCACTTCACTTCAGTGGACGGGGAATACCTGACCTGAATTAAGTTGCCAAACATTTCCACGTGCATCATTCGCACATAACTCTATCATACCTTCCATTGGGATAGAGCCCCAAGAAGATGAGTGATAGGTTAAGGATCTCCATAAAGACGTCAACAGACGTAGTAGACCGAGGCCGGCTTAATTACCTACTGGCAATGTACGGCAAAACAGCATGGTTACGTTTCACTTGTGAAAATTTTTGTAAAACACCGACCCTAAAATATTGTTTCCTGCATTATCTGATGTATGGGTTTTATGTCCCGACATTACGGAAAGACAAACTATTACGTTACCGGTATTAAGTAAATCAAAGTAGGAGAGATGAGACAGGCAACGCAGTTGAGATGAAGAGGGACTGCGTTATTGAAAGTAAACACCAACTGCTCTAACTCCTTTCAGAACAGGTCAGGGAAGGACCTGAATAGGTGAAGCAAGTGCGTGGGAATATGAACAAATAATCCACTTTAAAACCTGTCAATTTGTGTGCCGGGTAGCGAATTTTGAAAAGCGATCCAGCTGACTCTTCTTCATTGCTTCTCGCTGAATCTCCAAACAGGTAGTCGAGAATAAAAATTTACTTATTTATTTAGTTAAACGTGAGATTGAGAAGTACAGCTATCTGTTATAATCGCGGTTACTGGGGCGTCGAGCCATCAGAACAAAGATTCACCGCACCGGACAGTGTATTGATCAGATATTAAGTCACATGAAACACCCAAGACAGCCGGCAATATAGGTTAAGCTGAGAGTGTCAGACAGGCAGCGGTCTGATGCATATGAATCACAGTAGACCAGTGGGTGAGAATGAAGTTCACGGTCAGACGTGTGGGACAACACTATTTTAAGTCACCGGATCGTCTGGCGTAACATCCCCTTTGAAAACACGTTCTCCTGACTCGTAGTAATGAGGTGTTGGGTACACTTGTACACGTGGGATAGGTTTGATTGTCCGCATAGGTCTCCGAGTGACTTCGTGGCATGGCTCTATACGCATTTCCGTCAGCACACGAAGCCCCACTATTGTTGTTAGTTCAAACGTGCCCAGCAGTATATCGAACGGCAACTCGAAAGTAGAAGTGATCGTTCGATTCATCGTTTGCGTAACTGATTAATGTGCCGTACGAGAGACAACGGTCCGATAGACACCTCGTACAGCACAGTGCCTTCCCTTTTTCTTACCACTGCAGGTTGCCAAGTTTGGTGATTCGGCCATGTATCTAACGCGCACACCGGCTCCCCTGCTAGAAAACTTCTGCTTACACCTGATGCGAATGGCCGCTGCGTAAGTTTAGGGCGTATGGTATCCATTGGAAGACGTATCTCACGCCCGAATACGGCTTCCGCTGGGGATCTGCCTCCCGGAACAGCAGGATTAGGCATAACCCGATAAGTTAACAATAACAGCTGTATGATCTCCTCTGTCGGTCCTTACCCCCGCAGTTTTAGAAGTGGAAGTTTGAAGGTATCCACGAAGCTTTCTGCTTGCTCCATGAACGGGTGATGCCCCGGAGGCGACCGGCAGTATTTCATACAAGTACGCTGACAGGAAGCACCCAAATCGTCGGACATAAATTGCGAACCGTTATCGGAAATCAAAGTGTTTTATGAACTGAACTGTGCAAATAGCTGTTGCAGTTTTTGTATTTTGGCCGCTGTCCTGGTTGTGTTCATCAGGTATACGTCCAGCCACTTGGTATACGCATCAACCACAATCCAAAAACACTGGTCTTGCACTGAACCATCGAATTCAGCGTGAATTATCTCCCAAGGCTTAGAGACTGACATCCAGGAGTGGATGATTTGCTGGGAAGTTTCGCTGCAGACGCACAATTGCTACGTGACGACGCAACCATGGATAGCTCTGTCAATAAAAGGCCAGTATACGCAACTTCTGGCTAAAGCCTTCATCCGAGATTTGCAGGGGTGATGTAAGTGCAAATATCTTAATACCCTTGCCTGCACAGACTTCGGAACAACCACGCAATCACCGAACATAACACAATCAGCAACCAGTGTTAGTCACATCCAGATCAAAATTGTTTAAGGTGGGTGTCAGTAATCCGGTTCGGCCAGTTTGTGTTAAGAGAACAAATGTTTTGCAAAAGTGGGTCAAGTATGGTGTGCACCTGAATGTCCATAGAAATAATCGAGAGAGCTCAGATTAAATTACACAGAAGCTGTTTCACGTCCGATTCAAGTGCAACTGACGCCATCACCTGGTCTTCTTCTATGCTCGGCTGTTTTGCCATAAGTCGAGACAGCGCATCGGCGTAGCTGAAATCTGCCGTAGGCACATGAGCTATTGTAAAATTATATCCAAACAACAGTATCGCGCGGCGTTGGAGAGGATTCGCCGCGTACACAGGTATACCCTTATTTGAAGCGAAAAAGGCTAATAATTGTTTATCGTCAATCTCCAATACGAATTCTCTATCCTGCAACATCCGATGGAACTTTCTGACTGCAAAAGTTAAAGCTAGTGCCTCTTTCTCGATCTATGAGTCGTTTCTTTCAGACTTTGTTGAGGCACGTAATGATTAGCCAACCGATCTCATCGTGCTGGAATCGAACCGCTGACGGAGAACTGCTCTAACACCATACCTAGAGGCATCGGCGAAGACAATGATACCTGCTTTTGGGTCATAATGTGCCAGCATTAAGAGAGATACAAGAGCTTTCTTAATGAGCCTAAACGCTTCCTTACACTTGGATGGCCAAACCCAGGGTAGATTTTTAACCGACAACACATTCATTGGCCCGCGAAGTCGATGCATATCAGGAATCATAATCATCATCA